CATACCAGAAAAGGTCCTTCAAAGGTAAGAAAAACCAGGTGCGCACACACAAACTGGATCCAAGAGAAGAGGGCCTGAGGYCGTAACACAGAGGTCTGAGCACAGCTTGTGTTGGATTATAGAGAAGTAAACCATGTTTCAATAAACATAGTATTTTAATGCCTTTGTGAGGCAATACACCAGTCTAAAGCTTGGACACACTTTGTTCTGTTTTTCTTGTTCTATTTATTTTATTTTTGTCTTGTAAGCCCATCCATCCATTAGTTTATTTCATTCAGGTTCATGGTGCCCACAGCAATCACTGGTCATAAGTCCATAGAGACACATAGATGGGGACAATTTAGAGTTACCAATTTTGTTTTTGGAAGGAAGCCAAAGTACCTGGAGAAAACCCACACACGCAAGGAGAGAACATGCAAACTCTACCCAGAAGGSTCCCTGGGCCGAGAATCGATCCAGCGACCTTCTTGCTAAGAGGCATCTGCTCTACCAACTGAGCCACTATGCTGCCGCTTTGTTTCACTTTGTATTTCATATCTAAACAAGCATGTTGGCATGCACAAATGACCTCATTCTAATTTTCACCCCACATACGGCAGCGGTTAGAAAAGTTGTGTCGACACAAAATTTGGTAAGAAGGATTTTCTTTGCAAAAGGAACAATTTTGTCAGGAAGCACCTTAAAAAAGTCACATTTTTATTTTTGGCATACTGTAGAGTACCACCCTAGTGTGCATGGAATAAAACATTAGAATGGTGCAAAGTATAGACTTGGTTTATTTCTTAAATCCTCTCAGTCTTCACGTGCATGTCTTCCTAAACCAGGGGTCTCCAACCTGGTTTTCCTTAAGAGCTACGTTCATGAAATGAAACTGTCCAAGAGCTACTTTTTGCAACATTCAGTTTTAAACTTAAACTCAAACCATTGGCATAAGCTTGTTTTGCTTGAACATACACAAAAAAAAACATTGTCTTCAACACTGAATTTGCATAAATGTGCTTTTTGTGTTCATCCATTCATATCACAGTGTATTCCACACCACAAACTTAGGGTTTAACCAGGACAGATTGTGCACAAATGCCGGTTGATGCGTCTCAAACTTTTTTTTCTCTCATCATAGACTCCAGAAGGAAGAAACCCCATGCAGTGCTGTATGCTGCAGTGGGAGGGGTCTCCCAGGAGGTCGGCACGGTGTGTCTCAAGGAGTAAAGAAAAGTGTGTGTGAAAACGAACGCGAGCAACCATTTGACCGCGCAAGGTCTGGTCAGCTGCCGGTGGACCATACTGAGCCCTAGATTGTTTGATTGACAACCGGGGGGAGGGGGGGGGCATCTATGGATGATTGGATATAAATGAAAGTTTGTTTGCTCAGTGACAAATTGAATTTTACTACTCCTAATTTTTCATAAGCACTAAAGAGCTACTTTAAATGAGCTCATGGAGACCCCTGCCCTAAACCAAATAACTGGTTTGTGCCCATTTATTGTCCTATGAGCAAATTTTTGAGAGAGATGATGCAACCGTTAAAGTTTATTTTAAGCATCTGAAAGGAAAAAGTCACGACTACTYGGAACAAACGAAACACACATCCATATCAGGGACAAAACTGTTCAAAGAAAAGTTGTTTTTTTTAACCATCTGAATGAATAAATGATTCAAATAAGACATTTTCATTACACTGCAGCTTTATTTACAACCTGGAAGCATCATGAGCAGCAGGAGCCATATTTTATGTTAGCAAAATATCTCTCAAACCAMTGGACAGATTTTAATAAAACTTACAGAAAGTCATCACTGATTATAATGTTGCCAACACCAAACTTCTATAAGGTCGTGCAGCTGACTGTTTAACCCAACACTCTCAGCTTCAGCTCAGTTATTTTTTAAACTGAAAAGAGAAAACATTTAAATCTGTGGTATTAAAGTTAGTGAGTGATCTGCATTCATTCAAGCAATACCAAGACTTTCATCACTGACTGAATCAGGTAGAAGTAAATGAAACTTCTTAAATTTCTTACATAACATTAAAATCAAAGCACTGACATCAGAAGCCCCCTCATTACACACCATGCTGACGTGGGCTGTTATAAATTTAGCTCTCAGTGGCTGAGTCAGACTGTTATCACCACTTTCTACTCTCAACAAACGCATCAACAAGCCTCGACAGCAGCTGAGGGAAACCTCTTCGCCTCCGTCATTTTATTAGAGGAGGTGTGTTCTGGTTTGTCGTGTCACAGCTGATGCTTTTCTGGTGAAATCCTGCTTCTACAACCTGGTTGTAGAAGCAGGATTTGCCTGTGGCCGTACCTTACAGGCAAACACCCGTACGGGCATGAAATGTAAACAAGTTGAATGGCAGCAAAGCAAGGCAGCTTTATTTACAGAGCACATTCGGGCCAGGAGCAAACCGCTCATAGTTAATACATTACATTAAAATAATCAGACTGAGACAGGTTAAACTGAGTAAATGAAAAGTTTTTTTAACTTGTTTTTAAAAAGCTCAGGGTGGGTATGAACCTGCAGGATCCTTGTTCTGAGTCATGGAATGGTCAGCAGGTTTGATTCAGATGATCTTAAAGATCTTAATGGTTTATATAATGATGCAGATCAGAGATGAAGTTAAGGCTCAGACTATTGGTGCTCTGTAAACAGTGAAATTTAAACTATTCTTTGAGCGATAGCTAATGTAAGGACCTCAGAACTGGACTGATAGGCTGATGTTTTTTGTTTGTTTTCTAAGGACTGTAGCAGCATTTTAAAGAAGACGAAGCTGTCTRTTAGATTTTTTAGATACATAGTTCTGTGAAAACTTTCCATTTAAACYAGACCCTGTCCTTCACTTTGCTTCGTACAAGGGTCTGGACTTGATGCATAGAGAATCAATTTCTTGCAGGAGGCGTGGCCTCTACTGAAGTTTAAAATGATCGGATCAGTTGGCTGCGACGTATATCGGTGTGAAGGAGGCTAAGCTAAGAAGCTAACCGGAAATTGTGTGTGCTGTAAACAACCCTACTGAGAGAGAAGTACCGAGCCAAATGAGATGACTGTAAATGAGAGCTGCTGCTTTGTCAGACAAATTTATTTTAATTTGGAAGCCTTATCAACACTGACTGGCTTCATTCACTTCCTCCACTGCCGTATGCTAAAATAACTAGCAGACACTGAGCAGAACATTGACGTCATTCAAAACTCCGCCTTCTGTTCTCTGATTGGCCTAGATAAAATAAACTACAAGCAGACACTGCACAGATAATTGATGTTCTGTTCTCTGATTGGTCCGGCTAAAATCTGCCAGCGAAATCCATCTCAATGGGAGAAGTCCCAGACGGAGCAGTGAAGGGAAACTAGAATTGAGCAGAGCTGCATAGGAAGGCAAGGGTCAGGCTAGTGAAAACAGCACTGCAATAACCAAGTCTGTCGTCTAATTCTGGCAATAATTTGTAGGTGATAATATTCGGTCTTTATAATAAATTTGCTGTGATTATCAAGATTTAGATCAGGATTCATAATTGCCCCTGGATTCCTGGTTTTGTCAGAGCTTTTTAAACCAACAGACTGAAGAAGTATTTTTTTAGCTGAATAAAAGTATGAAGTCAAGGCAGTATAAATTACGTGATTATAAATAAATACTGCACAGAGAGGATATTTCACATCATTGTTTTGGATCTGGATATTGTTTGGTCTCGTCTCCATGATCTGGTCATGGTATTACTTTATACAGATGAGAACCTCCCCATCTACCCACAAACATGGAAAACAGGCCACAGTACTTCTGTTGTTTGGCCATGGGAAATAAAAATCTACTTGGGGACCATTGTGGTCAGAGGTTTCCTGGCTATATGAAGACAAATGTTCCACTTTGTAATGATTTAATGCCTCACAACTATTACCTGTGTGTGTTTGTTTTTGTCTGCTAGCTTCCAGGCTGGACTTTAAACTAAGCTCATCTTTGGTGCAGAAATAACAGAAGTGGAGCCAGTTATGATCAAAACCTCAACAAACATTCTGCAGAATCTCACCTGTGATCGCTGGTGATTGTTGCACATGCTTGGGTTTCAGTACATCAAACTTTAGCTCATGTTCTGTGAAAWGATCGAGTTAATCAAGTTGGTGTTTGTGTGGGTTTCCTCCGGGTTTGCCCCAAAGCACAAAAACATAAGAAGTTGTCTTCAGGCCCAGGCCGCCTTTGTAAAAGAGATCAGTGATCTCACTTGGATTTGCCTGATTAAATAATGTTTAAATTAAAATAATCAGCTAGGTAAATACTGTTTATTTATATAT